CCCGCACCCCCCCCCCCCCCCCTCCGAGATGGTCTGGTCAATAGTGACAATTTTTTCGATTACTCAGCCATTTTTTGACGGATCCTTCTCATATTCGAACTCGACTGAGATATTGATGAGATTATTCTGTGTACAAAATTTCAAGGCCATCGGATGCTGCTTTCAAGAGTTATCGTGTTAACGGCCAGACACATTGACCAAATCTAGAGTGTACTCATTTTTTGAGTACACAAAAGCAGAAAAAGTTTCATGCCATTAGATCCTTCTTTCAAAGTTATGAAATTTTTAGTCAGTTTCTGTCTAACAATAAGTCTCATCAATGTTAGAAGTTTGTAAAGACTTTCAGTTAAAACATATACTGAGAAGAAGTCAATTTTACGACATTTTTCAACATATAACAACAGTCTGAAAATTATTGCTGATGAATTCGTTATTTTTCGAGATAATTTAACGATTTTAATGCCATTCAATTCAAATCGATAAAAAAACCTACACGTTAAGGCACATGAAAAACAATTTTTGTTAGGGGAATATGCATTTTACGGGACAAAATTGACTGTTGTTTATGCACGTTCACCATGATTTTATATTTCAAAGTGGAATTGTTTTTGATTCTAGCACGTATTTAAAATAAACTTTTGTACAATGTTATATGAAAGTGCACTGATGATTCGTTCGTTGTCTATTGATGGATATAGAACAAAAAAAAAAATCAAAGGGGGAAAAAGCGGATTTTTGGGATTTCAAGATCCCATAAATTGAAACGCATTTTTCCCTCTGTGAATGACGTAGTTTCGACCTGAAATTCTTCCCATATATAGGTTTCATGGTTCATAAAAGATCCTAAAAGTTTCAACTCGAATGAATGTTTCCTTCTTAAAATACTGAGTTTTGAAAAAAAACTGGATTTTCTGACCGTGCCGTAAAATGAGTATTTCTTGCGCATTCATTATCTTGAGAAGGCAACGTCTGTTTGCGCTGAAAATTTTAGAATATTCTAAGAATCATGAGACTTACATAAGGGAAAAAATTCAGATGGAAATTCCATCATTCACATTTTGGATTTTTGGATTTTCAAAATCCCCAAGTCCCAAATCCGCCTTTTCCCCCTTGAAGAAAATTATGTTAGCTTCGATGAAAAATACTTCATTACTTTCATTTAAAATAATCAAATGCTTCTATCAAGATGAATTTTTTTTGATTTTAATCTAAAATCTTATCCATCGTTGGGCTAGGGTGTGCGGTTGTTTGTTTCGTTCTGAAGGGGTTACGTGTAGATGATGGTGTAAATATTTTACAGTGTCAATTTTTCCATATTTGTAAATATTGATGTGAAGAGTAGTCGCATTATTACCATGGCGTATGGTAGATTTATATCCTAGCGTCGATTTTACATTTTGTTGGAATCTCTATGAGTTGAAGTATGGTTGACGGGTGTGTAGATCGATTTTTTGACGCTTGTAAGTGCTGGGCTCAGCGGAGTATTGCAAATGTGGATATGTCCGAGGAAGCTGCCATTTTTCATCGTCAGTCACAGCGCACTATTGCGCCTCAAGTGAACTGAATTTCCTGAGTTACTTGGCCGGCACAAGATTCATGAGTTATCAGGATTCTCAGGGTTTCTTGGGTTCGGTGACTTCCGCGGTTCAATATTTGTTGAATTCTTTCTAATCATTGTTTCAGTTCTGAAATTATTCAGGGTTCAGAACTCACGCAATTCAGTCACGTCTCATGTGGATCGCAATGGATTTAAATTGAAGCGTTACTTATAGTCAATCCATTCAGTAAAAAATCGAATTCAGACTTAAGATATC